ATGGCAAAGTGTGATCTTAAGACGAACTGTCGTAATCTAACGGTGCCAGTTGAGGATTAATAGAAATAATAACAGAAAACAAGTAATAGAACAATACAAAATAGAAATAGATGAAACGTAGAAATCCTTCACACGAATTACATTAAGATCGCTGTAATCCATCCATCCTGTATGCAATACCCGATTACGATGATAATTTCAAAAGGCATGGCAAAGAGAACGAATAACTTCGTAGTTAAGAGAGTAAATCTTCAATTCAATTTCATTCCTTTTCGCGTCAGTTCACGTACGTTCAATTATCTTTTCTCTATCTGTTGAAGAATAATGTAAACGGTATATTCCTGCAGAGGTATGAAATAACGTCTATATTGCTCCGGAAGAACTAAATTACGCTATAATTCAATATATCATGCAAGTATTCTGCATCCAATTAGCCCGTATTTATTGCTTTTATCTCTTAACATGTTGACCTCCACCCGTATTCGGATGTCAGCAAAGTTTCTGGTCAGGCCACGTAACCCACATTCGGGTGTCGCTTATTTGACTACTTTCGAAGGATCGTCGCAGGTATTTGAAAAGATATTCCATAATAATAAATTGTTAATTAACAATTAATTGTAATAATAGTTGAATCGTTATAAAATAAAAATACGAAAATGGTTTAACAAAAAAATTATTTAGATTTAAAACTTTAAAGCATTCTATACATAGCTGAGGTTGGTCGGGACAATTTGGACAATAAGTTGTTTTCTTCAAATTCTTTTGTGCTTTTGTTCGGTCCATTCGACGTCTTTTATTTGCATAACGTAGTTCGCACGCGCGTCTAATGCTTCTTCCGGAATCGTTTTTCCGAACGGCGATATTATGCCGACTCCGTCGAAGATAAGGATTTTTTGTATTTTCAGACAACCCGAATAATTTTGCAACTAACAATTGTCTAAATATTCTAATATTTATATTTTTCCTTGTTGCAATTTTGTAAACCGTCAAAGCGTTTACAACAGAAATTGTCAGAAAGAATCGAATGCCAAGTTTTCTGTACCATTTGATTCCTTTTCTAATTGTGGTGGCATAAGAAACCATTTGGTCGGAATAATCTATACCACACTTTCCTTCGTTATATTCAACGACAGCTAGTGGTTTTAACGTTGCGAACAAACGAAACGAAAGATCATTCTTGAGATCACCGCTTGAGTGATTCGCATTACTAAAATATCGATGGGAGCACCTAGCAGAGAACGCTTGGTACTGTTGTACGCGTGGCCTGACGGAGATTTCCTTGAAAACACGCGTGCCAGTCAACGTGTTAAAGAAACTTGTTTCGCGACGCAAACTAAAGTGTGATTTATCTTCTATATCGAACCATTACGAATCTAATCCTAATTTGTCTGAAATATAACATGTTTTAACAATAAAACAAATTCAAGTCTGTCCTTAAAATAAGCTAAAAATCATGGTATAATTTACGATTTCATTGAAATTCATCACATCATATCTGAATTCAAGAAACTGGAACTGAAAGAACTTGAAACCACTTTACCAGTGTGAACCGGTGATTTATCTGCAATGTCCAGTTAGATTTTAGATGAAGTTGAGATTATTTCAATTTGGCAGTACGGTATTATTTCTAGTTTGTTCTTTTATTTTCACGCAGCATCTTCTTTAACGCTATTTCCGTTAAGACGTCCAGTTAAAATTGGGTGATTTAAATTCAAATTACCTTGAGTCAAGTAACTTGTATGTAAATCAAGTTAATTGAATTTAAGGAATTTGAATTCACGTAGCTTGGCTGACCTGAACGACATTCTCTCGAAGGTTTCAGAGAACAAAATACAATCGGTAAAACGATATTATTGCGGATATTGAAAAGATTTCGCATAAAAGTTGGCTTTACTTGGCAGAAAGTGTAATGGTAGAACATTACTCTTTGTCTCGACCGAAAGTATTAATTTATAAATAAGTTCATTTTTCAGGAGATTCTATAAGCGAAGAAGCGTGTATTTAGTAATCATATAATTTATAAACTAGTGTTAATTTTCAATTTTTTATATAACGATTGATTTATATGTAATTAGGTATGAGCTCCTTAGATTTAGAAAATATAATAATCGCAATAATATTAAGTTCCTAAGCATTATGATTTTATCATTAATATCGTTTCATCATTTGTAGATAGATTCATAAAAATTTCCAAGTGTATTGGATTTCAAAAATCTTTTTTATAAATCATATGCAAATATTCAAATATTAAATTTACGACAGATACAAGGCAAGCAAACAAAATTTTGATCTGACTACCAGCATTTTATATTACACATTATATTTTACTTTAATCGCAAAAAAATTATCACTATTTTGATCGTAACTAATAAGTAGATTGAGGATAATTGTATATCGCTGAGAAAGTGAGAAAAAATGTACAGAATGCGTGGATAATATCAAAAAATATTCAGAGTTAAAGTAATTGATATAATATTCAGAACGCAAGTTGCTACTTTGTGCATCGCGCCCTCCAAAACGCATTTCAATTAATATAAAAAAATATATACATATACTAATTATAATCATATTATGAAATATTTATATTTCATGTATTTTCTTTGCATTATAAAATGTGTTTCTTTAGATCTATATGCGGCGGAGAGAATCACAAGTTGATTTATCATTATAAAATGGAATCGTGACTTAAAGAAAGTTGGAAAACACTGATTTAGAGCGAAACAAACCTCCGTTTAAATTCCACTTTTTTTATTTATCTACATAAAAATATAAACAATCATTTACCGTTTACAGATAACTGTACCACGAATTTGACCTTAGATTACAAAAAGAAAAAAGAAAAAAATATATTATAAAAGAAACGGGGATGATGATTGCACTTCAATCTTTCGTGACTAATTACACAAATAACGCAACGTTTTATTGCTCGCTTGGTAATCAGTGTAAATACGTGGTGGGCACCACGGACAAGTGTGGCTGACGGTACTGTTGCCGTTGGCCTCTGATGGGACATGCAACTCACGTCATCACGCACGAGCTGCATTAAAGTCATTGCAAAGCGGGACGTTGCCTCATCGAGCGTTGGAGTTTTCAAGCCGATGATTTCAATGGCCGGCAAGAGCGTCGTCACCTCCGTGAACGCAAATAGACATTCAGCTCAGCGATTCTACCTTTCCGTTTTTTTCCTGCCTTTTGTCTTTCTGCCGTTCACTTTACGCAATTAGAATCGACGATCGATTGAAACGACCGATTGTTTATTTTCATCAAAACAGAGCTTTCTCCATTCTTCATCCGATGGTGGAAAATCTTTCATTTAATTGGACGTATTCGGATCTGACAAAAATTGATTCAAAAAATATTTTTTATTCTCTTTGAAGAGTTTGATACCTTTTGTTGACGTTAGAATGTCGCTTTCTTGAATAGTTTCTGGTATTTTTAAAAAGCAAATATAGCTTATTGCAACAAGTATTTAATTTACTAATTAATAGTAGTAACGAATTAATAAGTGGTAAGATGGTGGAAAATCTTTCATTAATTGGACGTATTCGGATCTGACAAAAATTGATTCAAAAAATATTTTTTATTCCCTTTGAAGAGTTTGATACCTTTTGTTGACGTTAGAACTTTCTTGAATAGTTTCTAGTATTTTTGAAAAGCAAGTGTAGCTTATTGCAACAAGTATTTGATTTACTAATTAATAGTAGTAACGAATTAATAAGTGGTAAGATGTGGGTTATAAATTCCCGTTGCACAAATAGTTTTTAAAATTGTGTACAATTTTATTGTTAATTTTATCTTATCGTAAATACAATAATTTTATTCCAAATATTATGTGCCATAGAGTAATCAGCTTACCTATCATTTATAAAATTTACCTGCGTAGAATTGTACTTTTATCACTAAATTTAGTTTCCTTATTATACTTGTTATTGTTATAAACGAAAATTTATTAGCACTGGTAATTTATAACCTGTAAAATTTTGTCAATAATATTGGTTAAGAGAGTTCAGGAATAAATTTCTTTCAAAAGTTAAAGAGAATGGTTCTTGTATATTGAAATATATGTAAAAATTGTTCTCTAAAGGTCTTTCCTTAAGATTCTCATGTAACTGTATAAAACGTATGAATTTATTCCATGTTGTTTATTGTTGGGAATTTAAAAGAAAGTAGTGGCCACTACGTGATTTGAATACTGATAGAATCTATGTTACAATAAGTAATTACTATCAAGAATTATATTATAACGATATGTTGTTTTATTTGTAAACTTTATAGTGTATGTCGAAGAAACTTTGACTAATTATCAGAGGACGTATTTCTTTTAATTCACACGCAGCAAAATTCTCTATATGATATCCTCTTTAAATCAAATTAATTTTGCAATATTCGAAGATTATTCTCATTTCGAATGGAATCCATGCTATTACCGCTTTACTATAAAATAATTATATTCAGCGTTCGATTGTTAGAAAACTTTTTAATACATCTTTATTTTCAATGAAATTTACTCGAATTCGAATTGAACTAGGAATTACTTAATTTTAATTTGTATTCTACGTCTTACATATAAATACCATTGATAGTTTTTATTGCGTCAAACACAGAATACGATTGAAAATAAAATATTAAAAAATGAACAAATTAATACATACTGCAGTTCTCCAATCTTTTGTCTCAATCTCGTTTCAGTTTCAGACGAGTAAAAGATGTAATATCTTAAGAGAAAAATCTTGCAGATTGGTAATTAGATTTTCGCACTTGCCTCCAGTTTGAAAAATTTCCTAATGACAAAAAAAAAAAAAAATACAATTTGGTTAAAAATGGAGCAAAAGATGCAACAGAATTAACTCGAACTCGAAGTGATCCAATTGATGACAGGCGCGATAACTGTTTGTTATTATTATTAGGTCATCCGCGTTTACACTGGTGTTTAACACATTAAAGTCTGATAACCGCTGTCAGTTACTTGATAATGATCGTGTCTTTGTATTGGATTACAGGCTGCAACGGTGCCGGATGCGGTTACCCTGGGGCTCCTGCACATAGTAGCGTTCGGTTCACAGGAACAGGTGCCGAAGACGTTATAGACGAAGAGGATGCCCTGCTAAAGGACACGATATTGCCCGAGGGCACAGTGGCTACGTATTCTTGCGAACGTGGGTTTGAACTCCTTGGTCCTGCGAGGAGACAGTGTCAGGTTGATGGCTCTTGGACACCAGAAGGGGTTCCGTTTTGCGGTAAGTCCATATATTCTTTAAAAGTTACGAGAAAATGTTATTTTTTCAGTAGCCATTGTGAGACATAAAATTGTATGAGGATCGAGTGAAAAATAGGTTCTACCTATTTCCCATTATATCCTACAATTTATCAAATGTGGGTTGTATAAAAAGTTATACAACAATACGTGTCCAGCATAGAAATGAAAGTTCTTATGTTTTGTGTTTACATTTTACAATTACAGAAGTAATTATACGTAAAAGGTCTACAAGCGATAGACTCAATTCTTCGGTTATTTTAGACGATAATTTGTCAACTAATAGTATTGGAGAATTAACGAGTAACAGTTTGTAAATTCCCTTTTATAATGTCGCAATTTTATACCAAATCAGATCGAATAATTAGAAATTTGCAAAATTCCATTCCAAAATTGTTTTATTTTTATAAAGTTAATCATATTCAGTAAACTTTCTAGTATTCCAGCAAATGTAGGTTTTATATTTCATTTGTTATGAAGAAGAATGCAAAAATAAGAATAATTAAATTATTTATATTTCACTCAACCAAACTATTTATTATTTAACTTTTAAAATATAGCCTATAAATGGCATAGGTAATTTCTGATCATCTATGACTTCTAATTATAAGTTATATCTCAATATGAGCTATTAAAAATTTTCATATAAGATTATTATAAAAATGATTAATATTTACTTAGCAATTCTTTAAAATAAATGTTTATTTTGTTTAACATATTATATTTATTTAGGTATTAGATAGATTAGGAACATTCCCGCGTCCTCTTGTTCGAGCCAGTCCTAATAATTCCTGGCTATTAAAAAAAATTTGGCGTTAGGGGTTTCTTTTTTTTTTTTTTTTTTTTTTTTTTTTTTTTTTTTTTACGTGGAGGAAATCTTCATAGACACCTTATTACGTACGACCCTTGTGCAAGCGGGCAGAAGGTAGTGCCGGATTCTTACCGGCTAAAACCTCCACGGGCGGGACAGTAGACCAGTGCAGAGTTGATCGTCGGGCCCCTGTGTGCTCAACACCAAGCACACCTTTTTAATCGAGTACATTCTCAGGAAGTACACCCACAACACATGCAAGGGAGGGGCTGGCCCCTTGCCTGTAGTATATTTTAAGAGAAATTTTGGTTTTTACGTTTTTTTTTATAAAAACCTGTCATATCACATGCCGAGGATTCGAACTCGCGACTCGCTGTCTTCAATTCTGGGCCTTGACGAGCGTGGCTGGCTGTCCTGCCGGATACATTAGGAAGTTAGGAAGAAGTAATCTCAGATTTGGTCGGGCTCCCATTTTTTTTCAAAAATCAAAACGCTTCCAATATTAAGGAATATATAGATTACAAGGTGGTCGATTCTTCGTGAATGTTTGTAAAATTTCAATATAACGGGTTAGGCAGTAAATTGCAAGCATTATTTGTATTATTTATCCATTAAAGTGCCTTAATTTTTATAAAACTTACGTACATATTCTTTGAACTGGCATTTTTACAAGTAGCTTCTTCGATTCTTTTTTCGTTTAAGAATGTTAGTTCCCCCAGTTTCTTTTCTTGTTAGCGTTGCGTTGAAACGTAGGAATCGTAAAGTGATTTAAATAAAAATGCGAAGAGAATATTGCATGTAAAAAACACGGTGAATAGATTGCGCTGATAGAAAAATTCTCGCACGAGTTGTTGAGATAGGTGTGTAACCGGGAAATACGTTCGCGGATGTGGGCTTAAGAGAAAGTTTGACGTTCCGAGGAAATTAATGCGTACTTCCGGTCACGCCTGTATGAAGTATTTCACCGCGTTACGAATCGTTATTTATGAAACATAAAATTGTATTAAAACTTAATGACCATATTAACATCAAAGACTTTTGTTTTTAAGTGAATCTTGAATATTCACAAATATCATGAATGGAAATTTGTCATCTCTATTTATGATGTCTTTAATAGTGTAGAAATTAAATTCTGTGTGTAATATAATATTTTACCAACTCAAACTCAAAATTCTTTGGATGAAATGATGTAATGACGTTTAATGATGTATCATTGTCATGTAACATTGCATTTTACTAATAATTAATTTGCGATTTCTAAATTACTATTATTAAAAATCAACTGATTTCTAAATTATTTAAATGACAAATAAATAAATATTTTTATTTTTTTCATTTTCATCAATAAAAGAATTAAAATATTACAAATCATGATAATTTACCTTAATTATGAAATGCATTTCGCTTTTTTCTTTTGTGAATTGTTTGTTTATAACACTCAATATGCATTAGTGTGAAATAGACTAACACACATCTAATAGAAAAATTGTCATTATTTATTTATGCATACATTATATCATTTATTCTCCACTGAAAGCTGACAAACTTGTTTAAATTTCCACAATATCGATAAATCTAATCAATGATAAAGTATTAGACAAAAGTGAATTAATTGCCAGCGTAAACAAATCAAAGATGACGTGTTTGAGATAAAAATTAAAACATATTGAGAACCAATTAAATTAAAGCATTGAAACAAAGGAACAACGCAATCGACGTTATTTCTGTATTAAAATAGCTTGTATAAAAATATACAATCTAAAATATTCGTATAAAGACGTAAAAAAGAAATTTAAAACTAAAATTTCGGAAGGCGACTAACCTGATTCAGCGTGTCCTTGACCGAGGAGACCGACGACAGTAGAAGAAATGCTAAAGATAGTGGGGGTATTACACCGTTAAGTCTGAACCTGTTACCTTCTAAGAACGCCCGCGGCCTTCTCAACCTGGCGCGCATTGCTCACATAGGTTCACCATTTCGTCCTTCCCGGTCCAGCTCGAATTTACTTCCTCCTCCAAAGAGTTCCACTCTTTCGTGAATACCTTTCAGGTTAAAGAATTGCCGAAGAATTGCCGAAGAATCTTAAATATGTACGACTTTGAGTGCTAAACATTCGAAGTTTCGATATACGAGTATCTAGGAGAATAAAATCGCATTCCTGAACGACATAAATTGAGTGTAAAGAATGTAATAGAAAATATCAAGATGTATAACTTCTTTGAAGCTGAAACGCTCGTAGAGGATTGGGTATGTAAATAAATGAGCAAATTATTTGAATAGGTGATGATTTTCTTTAGGATGTATGCAAAGGATTTCCACAATTTCTTTTAATTAGAATAATTTCGTGGTAGTTTATGCGATTTATTTATAATGGAAACAATTGCAATGATTAATGGATAGAACGATTTTTTCGTGGAAAATGTGTCAATAATTATTATTTATAATTGTTGAATAGAATCACATATGGCAAATCATATTTGTAGATGTCTGATTGTAGCAACAATCTGTTTTATAATAAAAACGATTAGCATTAATTAAAAGACATTTAATTAAAAGCATTCTATTAAAAATTATGAAATGACGAGTTGCGTCAGAAACCAAATTTAACTGTAAGTCTTCTGTTTCTTAAATTCTTTAACCTAAATTATTACAAATAACGAGGATCATGTGGCAAAAATGTAGAGATCTAATCGCGTGCTTGTCTGCTACAAATGTTCGGTAGATTTAAAAAAGAAAAAGACTGATGAGCCTGAGCTCACGGGAAAATATATGTTCAATGTTATACGACATTATAATTATAATAATTATACAATTATATTGTGTCACTTAATGTATTGAAATCTTTAGAAAATATCTACATTATAATATTTTGGAATATACACCTACTGTTAAGAAGCAAACTAAAGGATTACATAATGGAGTGACACAATCGTTGTTTGGCTTACGAGTAATATATTAAATATTTAAAATAGATATTATATACACGAATTAGCACGTTTTTTGCATAGCAATAGCAATTAATTTGATCACTAATTTGAATGACGTAATAAGAGGGCTGAAAGCGTTATGATTACAATATTACATATAATAATTCTTTTACTTCTTCATATCTAATATATTTAATTTAAACGTATAGCTATATTAAAACATATAATTTATTCAATTTATGAAGAGATAATAACCTATTAAGGTGTACTGGTGGTACAAGCGGAAAGGGGGTGATTCTACGCGAAAATAGAAGTCGAAAATATAGAATACAAATTTTTCGTTTGAGGCTTTGTTTTCGAGAAAATCGACTTTGAATTTTCGCTCGGTACGCGTGCGGTAGATCGTTGTCTCGGTGGAAAAATTAAAAAAAAAATTTTCTATTCTAATTATTCTATAAATTATTCTATAAAAAAATTATTCTATATCTATTTTTTGAATATTTGTTATATTCTACATCTGTCTATCCTTTTATAATCTTTTTGATATTAAACTCTACATTGATTGAGCACAGACACGTTTATATCGCAATTTATATCGCAAATTAAAAAAGAAAGTAAAAGGGTCCAAAATGTAATATATATATATAAAAAAGAAGAAATTAAAAAAAAATTTTTTATTCTATATTTTCGACTTCTTTTTTCGCGTAGAGTCACCCTCTTTCCGCTTGTACCACCAATTACCACCCTGTATTTATACAATAGCAAAGCATCAGTTTCTACTGTTTGAAATTTAAAAAAGCAGAATAGAATAATAGCATAAATAGGATTATAATATACAATAAATACAATATTGTAGAATATAATATATGTATAATAATAAATAAAATATATAACTGCAATATATCTAATTGAGAAGACCAAAGAAGCACTGTGAAAGATTCAGATCTGGGTCGTCATGGCACAAATTAGAAGTACATGATTCCGATACGCTTCAACTATCACAAGGACTGTCCTCCACCTTATTCAGCTTATTTTTGCAGTCGAAAAGGCACACCAGTACATTCCAATTACCAGGCTATTTATAATATTTAAAACGTAAATGGTAGTTAATTATCGTTAGATGTAACGAACGAAAACAAAAATAAGTAGCATTTCATCGTACCTATTGGATTAATCGGCTATAAATTATCATTAGACCCGCATAAATAAATTAGAAGTCTATAAAGTGGAAATAATCGATGAAG